AAGGGTTTCATTAAAGTTTACAGCTTGTATTTAAGCAGTGACGATGGACATTTATAGCAACTTCAAAAGTAAGTTAAGTCCAAGAAACACTCGTTTCAGACATTATAAACCTTTGACATGCAGACTGTTCACTTTCCTCACAAAACACTGAACAAGAACGACGAGGACGAGCACACCTGATCGCATTCACTCAAGAGTACGTCAGGGTTTACTAAGGTGATCCGCAACTTCAAAGTGGCATTTAGCATCATCATAAATCACCGTAAATGAAGGCACTTATCTCAACACTTCATATTTACCTCAATGTTCAGCAATAAAACCTGAACCAAACACATTACTGCTTTGTTTTAATGCTTTTTAAGGTGTGACTGGTTAGCCTTGCCAGATGAGTGTAGTACTGCTCATATTGAGACTATTGTTGCATGTTGACCGGCAGCGTTAGTCAGACATTCCCTCAATTGTTTAAACAGATAAAAGAATAACTTACTGTAAGTGTGGTGCAAACACATTGACAGCTCTGTAACAAAATGATATCTTAAAGTATCACAGAGCTTAAGGGAATATTGGCATAAAGATAACGTCTCTCATCCTAACACCACCCAGCAGGTATCGTCAGCCACAGCAACAATGTCTAAAATAAACAGAGACTGTACACCACACTCACATAGTCTATATAACTTGAAATAAATCGGCAACATGGGCAAGCTTAGCTGGGTTTATCAACTCTTATTATTCCTAGGATTGGTCATGGAAAAATGTATTTTCAAACTATTCTAGTGAAGGAAACCAAGGGGAAAACTCAAATGCTCCACATCTCCATACTACAGGAACACAGTGGCATAACAAGTTTTTCTTGGTTATATGCTGTTGAAAGATGAGCTTCCAATGTGCACATCAAAGCGACTTTATCTTGGCAAACGCTTGAAGACTTCACCCTGACAGTTTCACTCTGTCAGTCAAATTCAGTCAGCGCATAGCATCAAGCAAATGCGTGTCAGCTTCAAGGAGCCACACCAAAAGAAAATGTCTCTGCAGTATGGAATGCTTTAGGGAAGGAACCATCACACTGTCAGTGGTCATGTAAACAAGCATTTCAGAACATCACAACAGAGACGTACAGCAACAGAATCCTTTGTAAAAAGTTAGGTCTATAATTTTAACCAGATTTTTTTTTCGTGTTTTTTTTGTCATCTTATCAATCACTAATATGACTGCATGTTTTAACAAGTGAGTAAAGCATATTTTCAAACTGAGCTAATGTTTGATGAATCTGCTGTCAATGCAAGTAACCACAAACTCATTTTTCTTTTACCTCCCACTTACTGTCTCACTTTGAATTAATGGATTTAGCAGTTGCATTTGTTTTAAATTTAATAAACCTGCTGGTTTGGTCGCAGGTTTTCCTTCCACCTCATTAGAAAATTCCTTCCTCCCAACAGACTGTACATAAAGGATGGATGTAGCTTTTAAGTCTAAAATGTAAAACCAGTTTTGAAGTTCCTTAAAATGCATTCTTTCTAACAGCCAGACTCTTTTGGTTAAAAAAAAGTCTCTTCAGCAAACATTCTGGTCTCTACTGATATTATTATTTAGGGCACACTCGTCTTGTCATTGTCGAGTCACTAGAACACGAGCAGGCAGGACGGTTGCTCTGACACAGTCACCCCATGGTCAAGATACCAAGACAGCCATGATCAAAATGCTCAGCTTGAGGTGTTACAACGGGAATTTACTACTTTACTTGTGACATCAGTGCGGCCATGTCCATCCTTTATATATCCTTCCTCAGAAAATGATTTCACAAGCTGTTATTATGATCTATAGTATGGCCTCTGTGGAACGCGTGAAAAATTGCATGTAAAATTGCATGTAAAAAATGAGTGGCGTCACCTTTAACTTGGCATCCTGTAGAATGGAGCTTTTTACGTTGAGTTTAACATTATCACAAGTGTGCACATCATCCCAAACCCATCACAGGCAAGCTTTAACCTCCAGTCTCTGGGTCAAAAAATGGGTGTGTTGAGGCCTTCTGACGTGCATGTTATCACGTTGTGTATGTTGTTTCAGGAATACTTGTATGGGTTTAGTAAGACACGACAGATGCGATCACTTAGTTGGAGGACCTGAGTGGACTTGTTGCTTTCTACAGCTCATTGCTAAAACATAGTCCTCTCGGTACACTAAAAGCCTGGTTAAAATGTATCAGCATTCAACTCACCTACAACGTTGAGAAAATTTAATTTCACAATGAATGAAAGAGTCACATTACTCAAAAGAACATTCAGTGCAGTTTAATAATGAGATAATTTTAGGGGAATTGAGATTTTAGTTATGTGAAAATGTTTAGAACTGCTGTCAGAAGAGCAAGGCTAATGTTTGAAGCAAGATGTGGACTTCAATATATAACGACAGCGAGCATTTACCGATCTGGCAACGAGGAGCGGCTCTACCTTTAGGACAAAACTTGCTGCGCAGCTGTCATTGTGTACAGACGTGCACTGACAGCGTGCCTTTTTGAAATGTTTAGACAATTCCACCACATGACGCTGCCATGAGGGATTACTAAGATCAACAAATGTACTGACCTACGCTGTAATCCACACTGTCAGACGTTGTGTTCCTGGCCTCGTGTGACCTGCCTGCCTGTGGATGCTCCATCAGGGTGTGTCACCCTCAACAGGGGTGGCATGACCCTAGATGACAGGAAACCCAGCTGGATCACAGACGAACCACTAGCAAGGCTGCGGCAGGTGGCTCAGCGAGTGGCGACCCACTACCAACCACACGACATCAAACGTAAGCAAAAAAGCAGACAAAACGAAGGCACAGACAAAACAAAAGTGAGACAAAATGAAAACACAGACCACTGTTGCCTTTCCTCTGGCACACCACAGTGTTTTTGAGGCTATTGTAGCCAGCCGCAGACTGAGAACACTGACACCAAAAGAACATCAGCATTCTCTCACTTGGCAGCCGAAGCTTTCAAACGCAGAAGATTGAGAACACACAGCGCCAGAAGGTGAGGCACCACGTGGCGATTGTGGTTTTACAATAGATGAGACAGAGCATTCGTGTCTGAAAGCTGCCTCGTATCCCTGCAGGGAGAAACCGTCTCCACCAAACAAGCATGTTTTCATGACACTGAATGCCTGGCTCGCAGCACACCCCATCTCCTTTTCTTATGTTTCATTGCTCTATCTAACTTTCAACAGCCAAACAAAAAAGGGAACGATCATGTAAGGCAGCACTTGATATGGGCAAAGCTCTGAGCAGCTGAAAATTGGCCACATGTCACAAGGATGGGTTACATATGCAGTACTAGGATCCCAAACAAAAACAAGGCTCAACCAGCACATGGTATATCCATACGGAATAAAAGCTGGCCTAATTTTACCAAAGACAGTGACAAGCTCTCAATGTACACACTGCTCTTCCAAACCTTTGTGGTTTGGGAGGAAAAACACACTGTGCTAAATGGACAGTTGTCTGAAATAGGTCAGTCAAAACTCTAATGGGATACAGACAAGCTCCTATATGCATAATATACCGAGGATAACTATGGCTACACACACAGGCCGTGCAGCCAACAGGCATTATTAGACGGGTTAATGGGTTCCGGGCCATTCAAACAGCAGGCTTTAGTCAGGCATGCTACTCAGACAGGATAATGGTGGGATAGCTAGAGGGGCTGGGAGGTTCTTGAGGCCTAGTAGTGCCTCGTAGTACCTACTGCAAGCTTTGCAGCTTTCCACCTGCACTATTTCTACTGTTTTACCTCAAGTTCCAAGACAGGCTGCATTTTCTTCTTCTTTTTTACCTCTTTTTTGTGGTCTTTAGTCTTTATTAATTAGGATTTCTGGACTAGCATCACTAACCCTGCAGAACAGGTTAGACCCTTAATGCGGTGACAGTGGTAAGCACTGCAGATATAACTAAACACTACACACATTAAATATTAAGGAATGAAAAGGGCTCAGGCAGCCACAGGAGAAGTACAATAGATATTTAAGGATTTGGAAAAATAATAATAGAAAATACATAAAGATAGAGAAGGAATCTCAGGCACGCAGCGATAAAGTAGGGTTTGATTAGATTAAATGGAATGTTATTCATTCATGACTGAAGAGGAAAATGGAATATTTATGTAAGTTAAACAAATCAGTCAAGCTCTGCTTGGTAAAATTTTTTGCCTTTATCTCTCCTATTGTGCTCACTTATCAGATTCATTTAGTTATTAAAATAATATTTGTTTCCCAACTTTATTGGCACTTTTATAATAACACATTGTTTGCATTTAATAACATCAGCATGTGCACCAGTTACGTGCCATAAATCACTAGATCTGAATCTCCTCTGCGGGTATTCAGATATTTGGCATCAAAAACAGTGTTAGGCTGATCCATCAGAGTCTGTTTTCAACAGGAGCGATTAAAAAGGTGGAGGGAACAAAAGCACCGGGATTAAAGACAGGCAGCTCTTTCTAGATATGTGCCAAACTAGTAGAGAAGACACACAGAAGCACTAAATCTCCCTGTGTAAACAGTCCATCACACATATTAATCCCGGAATTACTGGACAGGGAAACTCTCACACCCACATGTGAACAAAACACACAAAAGCATCCACAAACTGGTAGATGCACATAGTCGCTCACATCAAAAAAGCATGTCAAAACAAGCTGCAAAGCCAAAGGGGGAAACTTATGAAGATAGATATATACAAAAATGCACACACGCACATTCACACACACACAAGTAGGCAGTGACAGCTTGAAGACAGGCCCAGGCATGGCAGGAGGAGGAGTGACGGAAGGCAATTAGAGACATTTTTTAGATGATAATAGCTGTGTACAAGCCACCGCAGTCCATAAAAGCTATTCATAGCAGGCGAGAAGATGAGCATAGCAATGAAAGTGGTTGGACCGTATGCCCAAGATTTGCCCCTGAGGGCATGGAAGGGATGAAGACAGAGAGCGAGATAAAGAAGTGGCAGTCTCTTACTCTGGCATGTAGGGATGTCACAGTATCTCCAGTAGATCCCGTCCTCATGATCTGCAATGTAGCACCACGGCTGAACATCCCCATCAGGATTCCTGCAGAAAATTATAACAATCATTTGCCTGCATTGGATAATTTTAAACAAGAAACAAATAGTGGGAAGAATAGTTGAAGCTCCTCTTGTGATTATAAAATTATAATCTGACAGTATAGCAGCACATAATTTGCAATGTTTCCCTGTTTAACAACCCGCTTCATTTAAAAACTGGTTGGTGTTTGCCCTGCTCTTTGCCAGATGTTTGTTGTTGTGCACATTTTTTGTTTAAAGTGGAAATAAGGAAATTTTGCACGTACCGAGATATCTATTATTAAAAAAATGATGGGTGAATGCATCAGATTGCTCTCTCTCAGAGTAAAGATTGAGGAGAGCTGAAAAAAAGGATTAGGGAAAAGCATGGGAAGAAGAAATGATAGTGGGATATCAGATCAAAAAGACCGGCTATCGACTGAATACTCAACTATGTTTCAGAAGGAGATTATCTCAGCTGTGTCAGTCATCCTTAGTAGCACCCTTTGGTGCTTGTTGGTTTCACCCCTTCCTCTGTACTCTGGAGGCTCGACCCTGCATGCCAGTCAAGAGCCAGTCCAATTGGTCTAGTTAGAGGTTGGGGGGGAAGCCTCTTTGTTCTGGGCCAGACACAGACCTAAAAAAAAGGACGGCTGATGGGGCCAAGCTTTTGTCTGAGACTATGGCCTCTTTTGATCCTCATCAAGGCCCTTTAAACCCATGAGAATAAGGCTGATGGGCCCCTCAGTGCTTTTCCTTTTCAGTTTCACTTACAAAAGCGATGAGAAGTGGGATTGAAGATACCTAAAAGCCTTGTGCAGGCTTCATATCTCCAGGGTAATCATCCAGCTTTGTAAATCATGACCTTCACAGTAACTTCTAATTTGTCGATAAATAAAGTCAAAGCAGCAAGTGTGCAGCGGAAGCGCAACTTGGTCTGCTTCATGTCTTTAAGCTCCATTTCAAGATAATTCCAAACTGGAAAAATACACTCTCTGCTGACTAAAGAAGCCTTCTAAGATGACATCGCTATTTTTTAGCGCTGACGGTAATTGCCAAAAACCTTTTCTTCATCTCTTTTGACACACCTCATTGTAGCATCTTGACAAAGCCCTGCAGCGCTGCACTATCCCGTTTCACCTTTTGTGCGCACAGTTGTGAAGGGCGTTTCCACGTCTTTTATTCTGCTATCTAACACACTATCCTGAGTTTCCTCCTCTCTTTTCACACTGAGAATGAGGTATTGACAAAGAAGACTTTTCAGAGTTGAACTGAAGTTTAAGCTCCTTAAAGCTTTTACTCTGAATTCATAGCAAACATGGCTTTCTTTATTGCATCCTGTTAGCCATGGGAGTCTTAAAGAAAAGGCTCATCTAGTCACGATCATCTCTCTCAACCTAAAATGTTCCCATGTTCACAGGAAACCAGCCTTGGTTGCCAGTAAATTTGGACTTGATATCATGAGTGCAGATCTGTCTGTCGCTCCACCCAAATTGGAGGCAGACACCTGTTTGTTTACCCCGAGGCTACTGTTAAAATGGCGAAAAAGAGCAAAAAAACTGGGTCCAAGCATAAAACCACTGATATATATACCCTTTCTCCATTTCTTCTTCCTCTTCTTTCCTTTCTGCGCCTGTCAACACATAATAGTCCTATTTGAAATAAGACTCCAAGAACAAACCTAAGATAGTGCTGCCACTTATGTAATTTAGTGCACTTTCTTAATCATCCCTCCAAAAGTCAGGCATGAATTACAGCCATTAGCATTAAAAAAACATCCATCCAACAGACCACCCAACCCAAATCTGACCTACTGACATCTTTGAACAGTACATGATGTAGTGTGCTCCCCCTCTCTGAGCTTTCACCAAAACCCTGGAGCTCAGATAGCATTTTATCCTTTTTCTAACCCACACACACACACACACCTGCACACACCCTTTCAGTAAAAGCATGAGAACATCATCCACGGAGCTAAATGAACAGGCAAGCCCAAAAAGTTGGGAAATATAATCAATCCTGCCTCGAGCTGCTAGCTCGCACACATACAGAGTGTGTGTGAGGGTCAAAATGGAAGGTGGAAAGCAGACAGCTGAGGTAGCATAGGGCAGATCAGCGGAAAACGTAATGCGGAAATCCATTTTACGTATATATATATATACTGCATAAAGTGTGTCTGTCTGTGTGTGTGTATGTGTGTGTGTGTCTGAGGTTGCATTCACCTCTGTGTGCGTCACAGATTGCCTGCTTGGCTCTGAGTAGATGAGCTTGTTGAAACACTCCCATACCCAGAGGTAGATCACAGAAGATGTTTGGACATTTAATTGGCACAATTACGCTGATCGACTCATTTTGCTCAGAGTGAGCCACACACTTTGGTACTGAGCCAATTATAGCCACATTGCATTTTGCCTTAAAGGCTCCGAAGCTGCGCATTTGAAGGAAAGAGGGGCTTACAAACGATTGTTAGCTGGCTGCTGTTCAAAAGGTTTCCTTTACGTTAGTCCCAAAATGTATGATGCCTGGCACGGAAACTGCACGTAACTACTGAAAAGAAATCCTTTACTTCAGACTATGTTTTCAAATTCTGGAAATCTGGAGATGAAACGTCCTAACATTTTTTCATGAGATAAACTCGAGATTCTACAGTGACTTTTGTTTAAACAATTGAAGATATGGAAAAAAAAAACTTGAAAGAGTCACATTCATCATTTTGCCGAATTGGAGAGTGGAGAAATGCTGATTGCACAGTGGTGGCGAGAGGCTTGTCTGGATAGGGATTTGAGGTCAACAGCAGATCAGAGTCTGGCAATTTACTGCCTGAGAGAAGACTCTTTAATTGACTTGGATGATTTAGCATGCAAACTGCTGCCCGCTGCTGTGCTCCATGAATGCATGTATTGAAGAAGAGGGCTTGTCAGTTGTAGGCTGATATGTATAGTCTACTGTCTATTGTTGCTCTCTCATGGTCTACTTGTGCTAAATGTGAAGTTGTGATCTTCCCGTGTCCTGTCTTGCTGGTAAACCAGCCTCATACTTTTTTACCTTACTTTTATTCATATCTTATATGTCAATAATCTTGGTTTAAACGTGCCTGGAAAATATCAGTTTCTGAGATTTGATATGTTTAAGGGAAATGAAATGATTTCACAGCACTCACAGCAGCAACAGAAACTATATACTGATCAGCCACAACATTGAAACCTCCTGCCTATAATGCGTAGGGGATGTGAGCCCACAAAAACAGTTTGGTCTGATTGGATCATGGACACAAAATCGCCTTTGGGTGTCTGGCAACAGGATGTTGGCACGCGATCCTTTGGGTGCTGTGGGTTGCAGGGTGGGGCCTCTGTGGCTCTGGCCTGTTATGGCACATCCTGCGGATGCTCAATCGGAGTGTGATCCGGGGATTCTGGAGGCCGGGCCATGTTCCTCGAGCCATTCTGGAGCATTTTTGCAGTGCGGCTGGGAGCATTGTCCCAGTGCGTAGCGAGAGGGGGTGGGGTACGTGTGAAAGTAGCATCCACATGACTGCCTGGACCTGAGGTTTCCCAGCAGATAATTTGCATTGCGACCACATGATCAGTGTTATTCACTTCATCTGTCAATGGTTTTAATGTTGTGGCTGACTGGTGTATGCTTTGAGATAAACAGTCGTCACTGCTTTGGGTAATCAGCAGATCAGTTTTTGTTTAAACAATTTCTTCAGCACAAAACATACCCAAATGAAAGCTGTTGACAGTGAGGCCTGAGGAAACAGGACACTGCTGCTGATTAACACACTGTTAACTTTTTTGTACACCACAAACCAAGTTGCAGGAAATACTTTAAAACCACCTAGCTCCAAAAGTGATTTTTCAAAATAACTCAGATTGACCAATCCACTATTTGTATTCGCTCAAACTCCAAAAACATTGCAAAAGATGAACACCGGCATCAGCAAAGATCAGTCAGTCAATATCAGTCTGTATAAAGGCAGAAGTTAATTGCTTCAAGGACAACAACGTGCTGTGATCTGCAATGCAAAGGGCAGCAAAAATAAATAAATAGAGAGTATGTTTTAAGAAAACAAAGTATCACAGTATTAATACACTTATTTAAAGATTATTTAACCCGGACATAGGACCACACACCAAAGTAGTCTGAACAGAACAAATTACATCTTGGAGACACAGATAAAATGATAAAATGTGGATTATAATATAATACTATACAATCAGGAGCTCATTATTGTTCCCCAAACATATCCAGCAGCAGTGTGCATCGCTGAATGGAGGCAGAAATCTCTTAACATCTCAAAACGAAGACGAAAGAAACCAAACCATCTGTAAACCGAACACAAAAACCTGCTCAAATAAGGAGAACATTTTAGTACAGGAAGTTTGTTCCTTCTATGCTTCTGATATTACTATAATGTTGATGTACATCTTCTTGTGGGACACTTCTATTAACTTCCTCAATTTAACAAAGCAGCACCTTGGGATCACAATAAAGTAATACCACCAGTGGACAACTTGGCTGCAGTTTGTCTGACCTCAAATTTGCACCTGACATCATGGAGATTCAATTACAATCAACTTGGGGAACACTTTTCACTCTGGCATTTCCATTATCTCATCTATGTAAGGGAAAAGCATTAGAAGCCATACTGAACACTCATAAATCCTACCGTACACACACACCTGCATATATATAGCCATCAAATGGATGGCAAAGCTATTCAACCACCCACTGAACCTTCAAGCAATTCACACCCTCATACTAATGCAGTCCAATAGCAGCCCTTAAGGAACAGTGGATTAGAACGAACAAATGAAATATAAATCAGGATTTCTATTTCTGTGATGCTCTTCTTATGAATGTCACAAAGTATTACCAAAATGTCAAAGAAGCGCTTAAGGTCTGAAAAAAAAGTGTCTTTTTTTAAGCGTAAAACTGCATAATTATTAGGACGCAACATCCGAGCTCAACACCAAGAGTTAGAATTAACATCTATTTCATAACAAGAAATCAGCTCAAAATCCAACCAGGCTGATAATTAGCGATGTGATATTCACTGCCTTGCTAAGACTCAGCTTAGAAATGAGCGCTCTTGTCCTTTTCCTGAGGCTTTGTGCTCCTTTCTTTGCAGGGGAATAATGTGACATTTCCCCTCTGCCCAGTTTCCCCCTGTTTTCACTCGGATATTTTATAGCGGGCTATAAAAATGAAATGTGGGGGCTGTTAGGGTTCTTTCTTCAGCACCACTCTGGTGCCCTCTCCAATAAATCACCAGCAGGAAAAACGCCAATGATGGGACTAAAAGTCAGTTTGTAATCCTCTACTTCTCTGCTTCACAAAACTTGATATTTGCTTGGAGCTGTGTGTTAAAATTAAGATGTGTGATGATTCCTGGATTCACACTTTCCACCTGGGCACTGGCTTCAATTCTCACCTCTTAACACTACAATTGGCCTAACAGTTAGACATGCCAACATTTCCCTGGCTCTCCTCATTTTACTCCATTTTCTTGCTGGTACTTCTCCTTTTGTCCAAGGATTACCACCTCTTTGTTTTCAAGCCAGAACTGTCGACAAAAATCTAAACCTTAGAGGAGAGACAAACATGGGTAGGTCAGGGAGATGAGAAAGCATCTGAAGGTTAAAGAGGGTTAAAGAAACACTGGAAACAATTTGAATTGCAAGATGCACCACATGCAAATAAGGAGATTTACAATTCAAATTGGGCAACAATGTCCAAGACACTTTCCCACATGGCTGGAAAAATCCATCTTGTGAGCCAGCTTTCTGTGATCAAACAAATCAAGCATTACACATTTTTATGCAGTGGGATAACTCCCTCTTCTGCGGGTATGTTCATAACATTTGCAGTCAACAACATGCACAGACATTCACAAATGCTTGACCTTGCAGACAAAAATGCCATCCCTCATCTTTCCACAATGAACAGGCCACTTTGCTTCCCATAGCAATGCTGATGGGTGACTCCTTACAAGGAGGGTCTCTGAAAACAGTTGTTGCTACAGCCCTAAGTGACAGAAATCCCTCTGTCGTGAGTGAAGCAAAGCTACGTGCTATCAATGAGTTGGAACGTCTGCTTACTGCTTCAGGGGCCAAGAAAACAGCCAAATCCTAAAAATGAAGATGTCCATTTTGAATGGTGTGTTGGACATAATACGCTTCTAATACGCAGGAAAGCTTTTCTCCATCCTCTGCATGTATCCTGCTCATAAATCTTTCGAATTCCCATCCAGCTGAAGTAAAAACAAATCTGTCCAGTGCCACTTGAAAGCATTGTTCCGTTATGAGTTTACAACCATGACATAGAGAGGCTTTCAGAGGCTTTGGGCCCGGGAGGAGGAGGAGGAAGGGGTGTTCTGTTTCTTATGGCCGGGCGATCTGGGCCAAGCCACTGTTCTGGACGTCTCTGCGAATTTGAACTGACTCACGAATGAGTGTGGCTCCCTGAAAATACACAAGTTTGACAGTTGTGCATGCAATACTGACAGTTGTACTTGGAGTGTGACTGACGGAGAGAAAGGGCTTGCTAGACACCCAAAGCCACTGTGTCCCTTCACATTCCAGGGATGAGGAATAGAGATTTGCTTACACAAACTCTTCAGGCGTATTTGCGTCCTTGCGGTGACAGGGCTAAACGTTCTCCTCTGGTACTACATATAAAATATTCAGAAGCAAATGTCTTAGCTGGTCCCTGGTGTTTAAACCCTTTGCAAGACAACAACAACATGACTCTAAATTCTTCACAAAGTCAAGTGCTTTGTCCACGAAGTTCAAAGCTCCGTCAAACAGCAGTATTGAAAAGAAACTTTTTAAGGCGCTACTAATCAATAACAAATGATCATCATCATAAACAAAAACAAGATAAGTGCTTATATAATTGGTAGGCTTAGACTGTGAGCCACAGCTTAGGACTTTGTGGTAAATCTGATGGATCTGCAACACAAAAGAAGATTGCTTTACAACAAACAGCATGAGGGAAAAATTTGTTATTCTTCCAGGCAACCGCCAGAAAAGCTTGCTCAAAAGGCTGTGTGTGGAAAGGAGTGAAGCTTGCATAGAAATGCCTAAATGAACTTTTACCCTTAGCTCTACATCTAGACACTAAAATCCTTGTCAACAAAAGATCAGAAACTGCATTTGTGAAATCAGGCCTTATTTATTAATCACTTAAATCAATTTATGGATGCACAGGTCACTTTGAGGTGAGTGTGACCTCCGAGGGAAGTGAGTCCATCCTGGATTTAGAGTAACAAAGGTATAAAAAGAAAAAAGGTTGAACAGAAACAGTTTTGGAGCAGTGGTTCCCGGCTAGGAAATTACTGGTCATGAGCTTCGGTTTTGTAAGGATGAAACAAACAGCTCCATTGAAAGTGTGCTGACATATTGCATCGGTGTGTGGTTCTCCAGCTGCACCACAGCACACAGAAAGGCACTCCAGAGGGTCATCAACATGGCCCAAAAAATCATTGGACATCCTCTTCCCTCCCTGAAGGACCTGTACAGCACTCGCTGTCTCAAGAGGGCACGCAGCATCCTACGGGACTGCACACACCCAGGACACCGGGTGTTTAAGCTGCTGCCGTCTGGCAGGAGGTTCAGGCTGCTGAGGTCCCGAACAAATAGACTCAAGGACAGCTTTTACAACAGGGCAATAGCCCTGATCAATGTAAATAGCTGACCTGACTGGATACCTCCCTGGACTTTTTAGGGGGAGGTAACAATGTTTAAAACGATAACAATAATATTTATATTTATAACAAGGTGCAATAATAATTAATGTGCAATAATAACAGTGTGCAATACACATACACTTATTCTTCTTTTTTATACTAAGTTAATATACTGTGTTGTGTTGTTTGTTACGTTGTGATGTGTCATATCGTGTCGTGTTGTGTTATATGTAGTGCCGACGTAGGACAGTTTTTCCAATTTCATTGTACTACTGTACTATGTATGACTGTGCAATGACAATAAAGAGTTATCTTATCTTATCTTATCTTATCTTAGAATACAACGTGTTCATTAGTGGTTTTTGCTACCTTTGCTCAAAGGCAGGCCACTTGTTTCCACCTGTTACCAGTCTTTGTGTTAAGCCCAGTTAGCAAGCTGACAGCTGCTGGCGGCAGCTTCATATTTTGTGATGAAAACAACAATGCCACTCTCTTCTAACTAAATACTTCTATTGAAAATGCGAAATCTGAGAGCTTGTGAGCAAAGAGATAAGAAAGAAGACAAATTTGACTGTGCACATCCCTTTCCTTCAGGCTTTTTAGTCACATTTGTATCTTGTGATGTACTGGAGTTTAAGTTCTTAATTCTATGCATTAACAGATCGCAGTGTTTTATTTCAGCTGTGTGGATGGTGGCAAACATCTCATTAATCTTGTAAAAATGTACTTTTTAACTTTTTCTTGTTATCCACAGTGTGAATTAGCATGGCATTTGCTCAGTGCTCTGTTGAGCTGAACACAGATACTGTTCTGGATTGTGTCACGAACGAAGCTTTTATGTTGTGAAACTGTGTGCATGTATAGCAGATGACTAGCTTACTGTAAAAGCTATATAAACTTCAAATTTGAGGTAAAGTCAACCAACTTTTGAGGGATTTTTCATTGGGTCTGATTCTGCAGTTTTTATGTCCCAGTGACCACTGAAATTAAAGTTATGGCTCCATGGTTCTGTGGAAAGTAAAATATTCACCTGCAGTAGTTATGGCTGCCCAGACCTCCTTCTCCATTCGGGTATTTGAGGGTGTTGTAAGGGTGCTGGAAGGTCTCATTCCAGAAAAGGCAAGGTTTACCCCCATGCAGGCTGGTCTGGTTCTGGAAGCCCCTGTAGTCTTCTCCGTTGGCAGTGTAACACTCTGTAAAAAGAGAGAGAGAGAACGTGAACTACGATTATAAAGCAGCCTCTAATGTTTGCAGTAAGGAATTAGCCATGTATTAAACTGAAAATCAAACACTTGGAGAAAGCTTTTAAACAGGCGCGTAAAACTCAGCCGCACATGTGTCCTGCTTTATTAAGAATCTGGACTGTGAAATTTACTTGTGCAATTAAATTTTTTAATGTCTTTGGAATGATTATAGACGAAAAGTTTGGAATAATTATATTCTTTGCCCAGGCTCCATACATTTTAAACTCTGGCCAAAAAAATGTTAAAGCAAGATCAATGACAACATTGTTTCAATTAATGCAAACACACGAGCATAAAGAAAAGAAAAGACCCTGCAGATATGTAGCAAAAGCAAATATGGATTGAATTTTGAGGAAGTGTATAACAACCATCTGGCTAAGCGCAAGAAAAAAAGAGAAAGCCGGGTTCCCAAGGCAAACAATGGCTGGTTCAGAGCTTTTCTTCGCTGAAAAGGGAATTCAAATAAACAACGGCTGATGGAACGATGATGAGCTATCACCGCTCATCACAGTGAGCCTCGGGGGGGATCCTGTCAAGAGAGCTTTAACAGCTACAACTGAATTCCTCTTTTGATTGCATTACAATGGAAAATATTAATTTATTGTGTGACTGTTTTGATTACAGATGACGTAAATGCTCGTAACTTGAATGGCTGATAGATCAGGAAACCCGTTTTCTTTAATATGTGGGGATCAAAACAGGCTTCCCAGTGTACAGGTATGGCATTCATTTTTGTGCAAACAGAAGGTGCAAAAGATGCTGCAAGAGCAACAAGTTGACATTTCCACAAAGAAGAAGAGCACACATAAATATCACAACAGTTTTACTTCTTGCCTGTCAGTCAAACATTAATGAGGAGCAAACAATACTTTGTTGTTTGGCTCGTCTCCATGGGGTCTTGTTGCTATGTATGTGGTTCGCCAATGACCGGCCCCTTTTATCAAGCTAAGCTGTCTGGGCTGAGTATGACCTAATGCACTGCAATATGACAGTCATTATACCCCTTGGTGAGCCAGCTGTGCTCCAAGGCTCTTTCATATTCTCTTTTCAATCCAAAGTTTCCCAACTTCCTCTCTGGTGTGTTGTCATCTGTTCTGCTCTCTCGCTATCGTCTACTCGCTTCTTCTCTGCCGTTGCTTTTCTGTCGTTCTCTTTCAACTGACACAGATAAGCATTTCTTTGGGGATGCTTTACCCTCACAGACTTTAAACGTTACTTCTGTGGTCAGTTGCCAGGTCCGTTCTTTGCTGGTTCTCTGAGCTAGTCGCACAGATAAGGAGAGCTGAGCAGCACTGATAAAAAGTTATTTTCTGTGGTAGATCAATGAACTTCCAAGTTAACCCTCTGCGTGTTATTGGTACACGTGAAGCGGTAAATAAATGTACAATTAAGTTACTTACACTAAAACTAAGTGTCGTTAAAGTTTCATATCTTTTATAATTAGCTTCCCATACTCTGCAGCATGCTGTGCGATATTTACAGCAGTTAGTTTGCACGCAAACATGCATTCCAGCTTCTTGCATCCACCACAAAGTAGTGTTAACACTTAATTTAGAGTAAATCAGCGTCCCGACTGCTCTCAGTGCGTCAGCCAAAGTTGATTTTAATTAAAGTTGTTTCGGCTGTGTTGTTCAGTCAAGCTTATCAGCTATTCATCGTCTGGCTGACAGCAGTTCAACAGCAGCAAGGAGCTGCAGGGTGTCAGGTTCCTGCAATTATGATGCCACTCTATTGTCTGTAAATGGCTCCCTTCTCTCTTAGCAAATTAATACTGTCTTGGCATGCAAGGATATCAACCAGCAGATCGTAAATCCACCTGAGAGCGGCTGAGGCAGAACACGACTCCATAAAATTGGAAAAACAGCTTAATGGTGTTTCAGTGGGGGTCATGCACTTGCCAACCTTACATAGGGGAGCTATGAGATGAGTGGAGGAAACAAGTTATCATCAGGCTGACATCCAGAGGACAGACGAGGCATATTAAATAATGCTCACTTCTCAGGCCTCAAAAGATGCACCTGCAAACAGATGCAGAGTTTATGGGGACTTCTGGCAGGGGGGGGCTTTTTCTCAGGATTAATGCTGGCTGCTCTGCTTCAACACTTATCTTGATAATTATTCTTAATGTAACGCATCCTCATTTGGTAAAATGGGACTCATATGTTGATTTTATGTTGTATTTACAATTTTTTGGATGTTGGCAGTCATGGCAACAAAAAGACAGGGAAACACTGCTTCTGAGACTTTGGCAGCAGGACGAGAGCAATTATGAGTCACTGCTCCCCAAAAGCAATCATGGCTGTTACTCCACAAGTCAAAGAGGATAACATCAGGAGGGACAGGGCAACTGACTGCATCCCAAATGAGCTCACGTCCTTCAAATATCTTCTCCTCAAACAGAGTGAGCATTAAACTGACCGAACTTGGCTGCATGCAGAGCTGCTCAATGCACTGTATCAAAAAGAAAGAGCCAAATGACTTTGCAAATGTCTTCCATCTCTCTCTCTTCTCCTCCTTCAGGAAACTTTCCTCTTGAGTTTCAGGATGAAGCATTGCTTGTCTGCACATGGTCCGCTTGGAATGGGTTGCCGCTGGCAAACATCCCGCACCGCTGTAGCCAAGTTAGCTTTCCAGGATGAGAGGGTAAATATGGCAGCGTTTTGCCACTGTTACAGAGATGGGGGTGGGAGGGTAGGGGGTTGATCCATGTGGTTTTGAGGCATCATTTGCTTGTGGTGGGAATGGGAAGTAACAGATCTGCAAGGACTCTGATATAAGTGAGGCCATCGTAAAGATGAATGGCCCATTTAAAAGCCCTGCGGATGCCCACACATCTATCACACTAAAAAGAAAAGGCCAATTTTGCATTGGAACGGCGTAGGTATGGACCCTTTATCCTTGTCCTCCAGAAAAGGAAGAGCTCATCCACTGATTGGCTCTTCGTCACTTCAGGCCCACTCCCCTCCAAACACACCCAGCCCTTTCCTCACACCCTCTTACTTGTCACCAAGCAACTGTTGCGCTCTCGTCACAAGGCCCCGGGCTTTCTTGTGGTTTCATCATAGACTGTGATGGGAAACAGAACCACCACCGCATAAAAGCGAGAGAAAATGGGGAAAAAACTCCAATAAAATACATGCAGATCTACAAATAGAAAAAGTCCGGGAAAGAGAAGAGGAGGACTCGCCCTTGACCAAGCCCTGTGCTCACAAAATACAGCACCACCCCAGCAACGAGAGGCAAAAAAAAAAAGGCACAAACTGGAGAAAATCACTGAGAGAGAGAACTAATCGCCCTGTTATTATATTTGCTGGGATTTGAGGCTAATGCTTTCCACATTGCAACTCGAAATCCACTTGATGCTCCAAAAAAGATGGGTGACGAAAAGCGATAAAAACAGTATGGGGTTGTGGTCGTGTGATCTCAAGAACACAAACAAACAAATAGTTTCTCTGAAACATGTTGCCCGGTCACACGAGAGCACTTATTTGTTGTGTTTGCTAGGAGGGATGAAAAGCAGCGATAATTACAGACAACTGCTTCCTCACAGAGGGTTGACATAAAGAGCTTCCTTCCATCTTTATTACATGCTTTGGACTCAGGGGACAGCAAAACAGGCTTACTGCGTGAGCAACATTTCCCCTATAACAACATTACACAAAATGAGTTTATGATAGAAGTAAGCATGTACAGTATTACGGACTAAAACCAGTTTGTTCAGGCACTAACAAAGCTCAAAAACTGGAGGCAGCCCGCAGAATGTGTGCAATGTTTCAAAGTTTTGTTTCAAAGTCTACAAACAAAGATGACAGAAATGACACATGATTAATACAGTGCATTGCACTGGTTGCCATTAATGTTGGCCAAACTGGGCCAGATGTGTGGGGTTACAGGGTTCTTTTCAGAGGCGACACAGCTGGTGGTAACACAAGTGTGGTTCCCCTTTTGTACAACAGCATCCTCAATCCACATGTAAATTTCAGAAGATCACAGAAAGGCAAATTGACAGTCGCACGTTTAGTACGGCTGCTTTAATGAAGTTAGAAGATGCTTCGGAGAAGTCAGTGACTTCTAAGAGGAGGCAGCTCAGCGGTTAATGGACCACACCTCACCTCCTTGCTTGAGAGGTTTTTCTTTTAAAAGCACCCTCATGCAAGGGTCAATGCAAGTGCAAAGAAAAAAGCAAAGCGATGAGAACAGATGCCTCTAAGTAGGTAAATCTGCAGACAATGACTTCTAAATGGTATTTACAGTCCCCCTTTTCATTCCTTGCTTTTGTCATAGGTTGTAGCCTCAGATAACCAGGTCATAAACCAAAAGCTCATTCACTCCTAAAATAGCCTCCACCACCACTTTTCCTGCAAAAAAAACGCCACTGCACCACCCCCCGTGTTCACTACCACAGTAGCCACAGGACTCCCTGCCAAAGTTTCTGGGTAGCACCTATAAAACGCGGCCCCATCTCATTTTTGTGCAGCCCCTATTATTTAGTTCTGTAATGGAAAGAGTGTAATCTGCTGGTGGGTTGGGTGTTCTGCCAAAATCCCCTTTGTTTGAAGTTGCTTGAGGCAAAAAAAAAGGAAAGCATACAAGTATTTTACTTTTACCCCAATCTACTCAAAGGCCCCCTAACTTAGTGTTGTCTAAAGCAATTTTGAAAAAAATCAATCAACAAAATTAGTGAAGAAGATAATGCATCCGTCTTTTCAGGGTTTCCTGTAGAGGCCAAATTAATATCTGATAAAATACAGCACAGACTGACGAGGTTAGCTTTGGCTCTGGAAATGAACAAGGATGGAACTATGTGGGACGATTTTGAGTTTCACTTGGCAGACGTTCAGGGAGTGACAGATGGGCTACAAACTCTGTCAGTGACGTAAAGGACATTTGGAGTCTCACTGAAACCCTTGAGGGAAGTTGCTAGCAAAATACTGAGATCAGGGGCCTGT